GTACGGGAAAAACCAAACATATACAGGCAAAACAAAATGAATACTCTTAGCTCCTGTTAATACATTGAGGCATCAATATTAGCTAAAAAAACAACAACAACAAAAAACGTCACCTCTATCTTGAACAACCAGAGTGCGAGTAAATAAACAGAACATTTTCATTCATGAGTGAACACCTTAAAAATACCAAACCACATTCCACCCACAAGCCGTCTGGCTCATTAAAACTTTTACATTCTAGAGGAATGCTGTTGTTGTCCTGAATAGAAGACAATAGAGAAAAGCCATTTCTCACTTTATAAAGAATATCCCTTTCATAATGTGTTTAAAGGGATAGTTCACCCACAAATTCAAATTAGTCACCATTCGCTTCCTCTCCACTTTGTTCTAAACCAGTTTGAATTTTTTGAGTTTGGTTGAACACAAAAAAAAATACTCTGAAAAAGCATGGTGGCTCAGTGGTAAGCACTGTCACCTCACAGCAAGAAGGTCTCTGGTTCGAATCCCGACTGGGCTAGTTGGCATTTCTGTGTGGTGTATGCATGTTTTCCCCGTGTTGGCACGAGTTTCCTCCGGGGGCTCCGGTTTCCCCCACAGTCCTAAGACATGCAATATAGGTCATTTGGATGAACTAAACTGGCCATAATGTATGAATGTGTGTGTGAATGTGAGAGTGTATGGGTGTTTCCAACTACTGGATTGCAGATGAAAGGGCATCCGCTATGTAAAAATAATGCCGAAATAGTTGGCGGTTCATTGCGCTGTGAGCCTCTGATAAATAAGGGACTAAGCCGAAGGAAAATGAATGAATGAATTTCCATAGTATTTTTTGTTCCCTTATTAAGGTCAATAGACATTTTCCCCTGACATTCTTCGAAATATCTTCTTTTTTGTTCAACAGAAGAAAGAAATGTTCATTATTTGAGTGAACTATCCCTTTAAATGCTGTCATGTATTCATAAGATATCCATGTGCACAACATCTTCCCGAAACAATAGCACACATACTGTACATACACACACACACACACAACTTAACTCTCTTCATCATATTCCCATTGCCGTCTCTCAGACTAAACTAACACACACACACTTTGACAAAACACGCACAGAAACATGCATCTATACACTCACACAAACATGCTAGTCCCCTGCTTGGGTCTCTAGTTCTGGCAGTAAAACGTTTTCATCTTGGTCACTGGCTTGGGAGTTTGTCTGTCTGTAATAGGCGCTGCCAAACGTTGGAAGCCTCCGGAAGCACAGAGAGTTTCTCTTGTAAAGGAGCCACAGTGATCCGATTACCACTGCGAACAGTAAAATGGCCACCAATGCAGCCACTGAGATGACGCCCTGGTGGAGACCTGAAACAGAAAAGACATTTTTAATTTTCAAAACATGCGCCTTAAAAATATCTCATAGTTACTTATCCGTTTCCCTATGATGCCTGACAGCTGTTTCCATGTTTCAATTTAAGAAAGTCATAATTTTTATTATTGTTACAATTATAACAAGGATTCATTCTACACAACTAAAATCAGCTTATTTAAATGAAATAAAATAAGCACAAAAAACAACCATGTAAATATTACATTCATATATATATATATATATAGATTACATTATTATATTATTTATTTATTTATTATTATTATTATTTTTTTTATTACTATAAGAAAGATTAATTATATACAACTTAATCAGTTTCTTCAAACGAAATAAAAAACATTAATTAACAAAATATCACCTACTAAGTAAATATTATTTTCATATATACAGTTGAAACCAAAAGTTTACATACACTGTAAAAAAAGGAACCTAACCATTTTTAAAAAAATGTCTGATGGATAATCATATCAAACGTTTACTATTTAGGTCCATTAGGATGACCTAAATGATTTACATTTGCTAAATGCCAGAATAATAAGAGAATTTTTTTTGGAGAATTTTTTATTATTTTCTAGACAGTTAAAAGGTGACATACATTTCCTTTTTTATTTTTTAGCTTTGCTTTTAAACTGTATAACTTTGGTCAAATGTTTTGGGTATCCTTCCACAAGCTTCTCACAATAGTTTGAAGGAATTTTGGCCCATTCCTCCTGACAGAATTGTTGTAATGGAATCAGATTTGTTGGCTGTCTTCCTCACACAAGCTTTTTCAACTCTGCCCACAAATTTTCTATAGGATTGAGTTCAGGGCTTTGTGATGGCCACTCCAAAACATTCCCTCTTTTGTCCTTAAAGCACATTTTAACTAATTTGCCAGTATGCTTAGGGTCATGGTCTGTTTGGAAGACCCATTTGTTGCCAAGTTTTAATTTCCTGGCTGATGTCTTGAGAATTTGCTTCAATATTTCTACATATTGTCCTTTCCTCATGATGCCATCTATGCTGGGAAGTGGACAAGTCCCTCCTGGAACGAAACAGCCCCACAACATGATGCTGCCGCCCCATACTTCTCAGTTGGAATGGTGTTGCTAGGCTTGTAAGCTTTGCCCATTGTCTTCCAAATGTAACACTGGTCATTATGGCCAAACAGTTCAATCTTAGTTCCATCAGACCACAAGACATGTCTCCAAAAATGATTCTTTTACCCAGTGTAATTTTGCAAATTGTAATCTGGCTTTTTTTGTTGATTCTAGCTTGTTGATTCTCCCATGCTGTCACACAAGGAAGCAGTGTGTTTAAAGGTTTTCCTTAAATACTGTTCTACAGTTGTGCCTTTAATTAACTCAAATGTTGTCAATTAGCCAACCAGAAACTTCCAAAACCTGGACACCATCATCTGAGCTTTTTCAGAGGCATATTAATCTTATTGTATGTAAACTTGACTTTCAAGAAAAGTTCTAACAATTAAAAAAAATATATATCTCTCTCGTTGTTCTGCTATTAAGCAAAACATGAACAAATGGTTTAGTCACACTAACATCTGACTTTTTTTTAATAGTTATGTGCCTTTTCATACAGTGTATGTTAACGTCTGGTTTCAACTGTAGATTATATCATTATATTATTAAACTATTATTACCTAGTGTTATTATTATTATTATTATTATTACTATATTATTATTATTACTATTTATTATAACAAAGATTAATTGTAAACAAATTAAATCAGTTTCTTAAAATAAAATAAAATAAGCAGTAACTAAAAAAACAACATAACTTCTATGTCAATATTACCTTTTATTATTATTATCTTTCATATTTACTTTCATAAATATTACTTTCAACAACTAAAATCAGTTTCTTCAAATGAAACAAAACAAGCTGTAACTAACAAAACAATAACTACTAAGTAAATATTATTTTCATATCTAGATTTTATTATTATCTGATTTAATAGGGGTGTCAGATTAAACATCGTTGAGGTTGCTTTGCACACACCAGGTAAGGCTGGCCTCTGTGTTGCACATGACACTCGGTTGGGCGGCCGAGTGTGACGTAACCGCAATTCTCTCACCGGAGTTCAAAGGTTGTTACGTTATTCATGTCCAAGTAGAGACTGCATCTACAACTGCAGCCACACAAATTAACCATGGACACTACCACACGATGAAATGTCACTTTGGATATGCAGAAAGCCGCATTATTGAAGTGCAGTGCAGAAATGTAAAAACCACTATCAAACTATTACCATCGTTTTGGACTTTTAGCCGCATTTTGCCACAGGACAGTCCACACTGTTGTTTGACAATATATTCTCTGCACCTACACGCATCTCTAAGCGCACACATACTGAACTGCTGAAGACTCAACACACCCGCCTTCACCATTACCAAACACGTTCCAAGTATTTAAGCATGTTTAACGAGAGAAAGAGAGTGAGCGAAACATCCGCTAATACAACTAATATAGAACTATTGCATACATTACATGCATAATTCAGGCCATGAACATGACATTAAAATAGTTACTGGTTTAAAAAAGCCTAGATTAGAAGACGGCAAAATTAGAACTTTTTCTGTCATAAGCTATAGTAAAACAACTTATCAAAAAGAAAATTAAACAAAATGAAACCATGCAAACAGAATAAATACAGGATTGGGGAAAAGAGCGCTCTTTATTATCAGCTGTCAGCGCCCGCTCTTTTTTTTTTTCCTGGTCATTGCGCCTTTTGCCTGGTGCAGTATAAATGCAGACAATCGAATACGAGTCACCTTTAAAAGTTGATAAATCTAAGCAGGTCATAAAAACAATTGCACACTGTTACAAAATCTGAATTGACCATCAAGATCTGCAGTGTCAATACTCTGAACTTCTATACGGGAAAAGCCAATCAGTCCAGTATGGTATTTTACATTTATATATTAGCAGATATTTTGCAGTGTTTGCATGTTTATTGCACAGAATTCAATATAAACTTTATCTGTTATGTTCATTAAAATGGAAGTAAATTGAAGCTGATTAAAAAAAAAAAACGCCTAAATTGTTTTGGGCTTTTGTCATTTTTAAAAAAAATATATATTTTTCATTCATATATTAACAAAATATTTGAATTCTAAGACTATTCCATTCATATGTTTCATCATTAAGGATTTCTTTAAAATAGTGTAAACATCGCGTCTTGTTCTCGTGAGCCAAATCTTGTGTCTCGTCTCGTGGAGTAGGTATCTCATTACACCCCTATTATTTAACTATTATTACCTATTGTTTTTATTATTACTATATTATTAAATATATAAATATTATTTATTATAACAAAGATTAATTCTAAACAAATTAAATCAGTTTCTTTAAATGAAATAAAATAAGCAGTAACTAAAAAAAAACAAAACAATATCAACTTATATGTAAATATTTTTCTCCCGTTTTCACTTAGCTCAGGTAAAACAATATAAATATTTTTTATTTTCCATTTTGAGGAACTGAGAGTTATCACCAGAAAACAGCTGGTGAGGGAAAAGGAAAATGCATTAAGAGTTGTCACTTCCTCAAAACAGAGCAGAACAGTCTGGTTCCTTAAGTATAAAACAATGATTTGCACAGTAACTGATAAAACTTTTGAAGGTTGACCTACTTTGAGCTTTGTCGTGGTTAATTAATTCTATGTTAAAAACCCCATCTGTTTTTGTTAAATCAGTTTAGTTTTAAAACAACCATGTGTAATAGTTTTGAGTAGAAAAGATGCTGTTCAGAAAAATAACTCTGAACACCGTAGTCAATCACAACTGTTTTTTCAGAACAAACAGAGGAAAAGATATGCAATCACGCAAATTTGATGAAAATTATATGGGATCTTGAAAAAAAAAAAACCCACTAGTACTTTGTTGTACCACCTCTGGTTTTTAAGAACAGTTTGAATTATGTGAGGCATGCATTAAAAGTATTCTTCATCGATCTGTCTCCAACTTTGTCGTATTCAGAGTGTATACAGATATCAGAGAGAGAATTTAACTTTTTTCCCATACATTTTAAAACCTAGAAACCACTTTAGGTTTCAACCGGAAACACTGGCAAGATTTTAACTCACAGTATATTTATTAAATATTAATGTAAGAAACTGATCCAGCTTGGTTACCCCTGTCCCTTAAGTCACATGAATAAAGCTGAGTCACAGTAGATACAGAGCTGTATCATGCTAGGCAGACGAGTGATTGTTAAAAACTGGAAATTTTCCAGTAGATCTCCGATCTTCGAGTGGATATAATGTAATGTAACGTGTATTTATATAGCGCATTTATTGTGTATGGCCATACACCCAAAGCGCTTCACAATCATGAGGGGAGTCTCTTCACACCACCATCAGTGTGCAGCATCCACTTGGATGATGAGATGGCAGCCACAGGACAACGGTGCCAGTGCGCTCACCGCACACCAGCTATTGGGGGAGTGGAGAGACAGTGATAGAGCCAATTCAGTAGATGGGGATGATTGGGAGGCCATGATTGTAATGGCACAATGAGGGACTTTGGCCAGGACATCGGGGTTACACCCCTACTGTTTACAAGAGGTGCCATGGGATTTTTAATGACCACAGAGAGTCAGGACCTCGGTTTAACGTCTCATCCGAAAGACGGATCTCAGAGTTGCAGCTTTTGAAAAACTCTCCCACAGTTTACATGGAAGGATTGAAATTTATTTTGATAAATGGGGAAAATTTCTACATTTCTGTGACCCACAATGTTAGCAAACAGGTAACGAGACATAATAATAATTAGGCTATGATATTAGCAATAAAGTCAATAAAACGTTAAAATGACAAGAAACTAATCCATAACTAAAACATTTTTCATATAATGAATAAAAAATATATTAAAATTTAGCAGGTTGTTGCCTATAGAACTGTAGAAATAATGGTGTTGCTATGATTTTATTGTTTTCATAAACTACACAGCAAATGATATAAAATGTAATACTTTGCAAAATAGCATTTAAGGCTTTTGAATACTTTTTAGGGGTCTTAAATTTCTCTACATTGATTAATCAGCTTTTAATACATTTTAAGACGCAGCACACACCCTGATATTGCAGATGCCAGATCAGCCTTCCTATGGACCACTTTCTTTAATTTCTACCACAGATTTTCAATTGGATTCAGGTCTGGACTATTTGCAGGCCATGCCTTTGACATTATATGACTTTCATGTAGGAAAGTTTTTACAGATTTTGCCCTAATTTTTGCATTATCATCCTCAAAAAACTTTGGGCTCTATTTTGACGGTCAATGCGCAAAACGCAAAGCGCAGGGCGCAAACGCTTTCAGGGCGTGTCAAAATGCATACTTGCTAATTTAAGGACGGGAAAATCCGTTTTGCGAGATGGTCTTAAAGGGTTGAGTTTATTTTCTTAATGAGTTATAGGTGTGTTTTGAGAATAAACCAATCAGAGTCTCATCTCCCATTACCTTTAAGAGCCAGTTGCGTCGCGTCATGAGCGCATTTGCTATTTACATGACGTAAAGTAAGTTCACTTTCCCTTTTGCTCTCGTGGATAGGGAAGCCTTTACACACAAACATCCATTAGCCTATAAATAATTAATTTAGTTTGTTAAGCGCAAAGATTTGTTTCAAAAATATTTCTAAATTCAGTTGTAATTTCCGAAAAAATGAACAATATTAATGAAGTGTGGTCAAAATACTGAGTTATTTCCAAATACACCTGCTATGCCCCACACGGTCTAAAACCTGACAGGTGGACAAATCTAAGCTTGCTTTTAATAAAACAAATATAAATATGGATATAATAAATAATACTGCTAATAATAATAACATTATACAAAAGCAAATTGAATGAACTGAAAAAGCCTCCCGAGATGAAGGCAGTGGTTTTTAAATTCATGTAGGCTAGAAATTAATATGTACTATTAATTGTAATATTATTTATTTATTATTATTTGTAATATTTTAATCATTTATATTTATATCCTATATATATATCCTTATTGTATATATCCTTAATATATTATATCTTTTTCATATGTAAAGATATTTGCGTATTGCTCTGCATCTTGTTTGTAGTGTGTAAGCCAGACGCACTTTGCGCCAAACAATAGACCGCCTTTGTTCTGGTCTATAGATCAGACTATTAACAGTTTCTCAAAATAGCAACGCGCCAAAACACGCCTGCTTTTTTAGACCAGAACGCCTATAGGCGCACATACGAGCGCAAATGCATTTGCTATTTAAACAGTGTGGCGCAAAACCTCAAAATGACCCTTGCGCCGAGGTGAAAGTAGCAAATAGCGATTGCGTTGCGTCTTGCGCCACATTGCGCCGGGTGTATGATAGGGCCCTTTGTCTTCATCACAAAACTTCCTTTCAATTGATTGAATAAGAACAGTGTCCAAAATCTCAATATAATCTTGTGCATTTATAAAGGATATAATGGCTGTCATCTCTCCCACACCTTTCCCTGACATACATCCCCATATTATTAATATTTGTGGAAATTTCCATGTTTTGTTCAGGCAGTTGTCTTCATAAACTTCATTGAAACGGCATCAAACAAAAGTTCCACCATCATCACCCTGCCCAATGCAGATTAATAATTCATCACTGAATATCACTCATATCCAATCATCCGCAGTCCATTGTCTTCCTTTTTATTATTTTGTTAATTTATTATTATTATTTACAATTTTAAATGGATTGAACATAAATCAATGAAGTTTTCCTCCCCCCAAAAAGTCAAGAACTGTGTTGTTTCAGCTCATTTTAAACAAGTCGTTTTTGAGTGTGTATTCTAACCTTTCAGTGGCTCCACTTCAACCTCTTTAATGGTACCTGCCATACAAAGCAAACATTATAAATTAAACAGTGAGCATCTACACAGTAGAAGTATTAACATTCACACTTCACCTACTGGCCTTGCTCTTAAAAACCACACAGTTTCACAGAAGAAGAAGAAGTCAGTCATCATGAGACTTGAGGGTGTATAAAATATAGGTTTCATCGCTTGTGCCTTTAACGTATACTTTGTTTTGCAAAGCGTGAGTCAGTGCACAAGTGATACAGCAAACTTATCTACTTCTGTATTTAAGTTCAACAGTCATATCCTGTTGCATTGTTGCGGTAACTATCAGCGGGTTCTGGTACTGGGTTAAATCTTATCTGGTGGTTTTGCCTTTTACCTGTTGAGGTTTTACAGATGAAGCCCAGTCGTTCGGTGCAGTCTGCTAACTGCCAAACCGCATCTGATACCCGCATAGACACACATGGCTGTTTCCTCATCTCCTGCTCATCTGGAACTCTGGATCGCCAGTTCGTGTACTGCAGCTGAGAGCCATCCAAACGAGCCAAAACACCATCTACAATAAGCATTTTGTCCACTTCATATCAAATTCATAATGACCATTTTTAGTTTTCATAGATACCTTTTAAATAAATAAAGCACAATATAATATAATATCTGTCTGTAATAGGTGCAGCCAAAGAATTATTTTGTCAAACATTGTAACTACGAAAGGAGTTCACAACCCCTTTTTAAATGAAATATTTTTATATAATTTTTTCATGAATATACTGTAGGCAATTTGTGGTGCATTTATACAAAATAGTTTTATTAAACAGTCTGTTTTCTATAGATTAGATAAAATGTGGTCAATGAACATCTTTAGGAATAGAAAGATAATACATTTCAATTCAAATGAATTAATGAAGAAACAAATTACAAACAAAATGTATATATATATATATATATATATATATATATATATATATATACATACATACTGTACACATACAGTTGAAGACAGAATTATTAGCCCCACTTTGAATATTTTTTCCCTTTTTTAAATATTTCCTAAATGATGCAAGGACATTTTCGCAGAAAGAAAGTCTTATTTGTTTTATTTCGGCTAGAATAAAAGCAGTTTTTAATAAAAAAAAAAAAATTTTAGGGACAAAATTATTAGCCTTTATTATTAGACTTCAACTATATATATATATATATATATATATATATATATATATATATATATATATATATATATATATATATATATATATATATATATATATATATATATATATATATATATATATATATATATATATATATATATATATATATATATATATATATATATATATATATATATATATATATATATATATATATATATATATATATATATATATATATATATATATATATATATATATATATATATATATATATATATATATATATATATATATATATATATATATATATATATATATATATATATATATATATATATATATATATATATATATATATATATATATATATATATATATATATATATATATATATATATATATATATATATATATATATATATATATATATATATATATATATATATATATATATATATATATATATATATATATATATATATATATATATATATATATATATATATATATATATATATATATATATATATATATATATATATATATATATATATATATATATATATATATATATATATATATATATATATATATATATATATATATATATATATATATATATATATATATATAAATATATATATATATATATATAT